CCAGTTTTCTGGACTACCAAGCCTCTCGATTCGTCCAGGTACTGTTTTTCACCTAGTATCAACAGTTCATCGGATGCTGTAGTACTGTCGGCCAGAAGAAATAAGTGTCCGAGCCTCGAGCAATTTCAGAGTTTTGCTGGAGATCTAGGACCGTTCCACAGGCGAAGCGCATTGGACCTTGCAAGGTTGCGGATATCACTTTTCAGTAAAAGTGTATAGGCCAGAGGGGACTTCGGTAGTTGATTTCGGTAGGTTTGGTTTGTATCAGGATCCAAGGGCTTCCCAATGACTGGGTGGTTTTTTTTGTGCCTGGCACGCACATCCACGAGCAACAAGCGGTAACTGACCCACACAACCTGGAGTCAATGACGATGTGGTCCATCTGTTGCATGTGGAGAGCACCATTTGACCGAGCGGCTTCGATTTTTTCGGAAGTTAATACTGCACAGTAATAGACAGTCCAGCGGATGCCTGCATTATGCGCCGTTGTTCGTGCTGCTTGATTCCCATGCAAGAGGACTACCCAACTGAGCCTCAGCAACGGAATATCCACCTACTGGCGTACTTGTAGTTTCCGGGAACTACAACATCTGAGCTCTCAGTCGATGGTAACAAGGGGCTCAAAAGATGTCAAAACTATTGAAGAGCATCAGAGCTACGGTCTGTTGGGGCGTAAGCAGACACAATGAACAGGCAGTGATTATCGGCGCGTTTACTGGATACTGTCACAGAGGTGGCCATCGACGGGCAACCACTCAACCAGAAGCCCTTCGGCTCGGTGGGAGCGAGCCAAGCTGTTTCAACACCAGCAGAATCAGTGGCAGGGGCTTCTGGGTCGCAAGAAGTGCATTCTTGGAAATGCGAGGCGATTGAGAGCAGAATCAGTGGCAGCGGCTTCTGGGTCGCAAGAAGTGCATTCTTGGAAATGCGAGGAATGCGATTGAGAGGCGAGTTCAGCAAACGCGCTTGTCTTGAATGTTCCGTTTATTGAGTCAGCACTTGATTATAATGCCAACCTAGCATGCATTCACAAATAGTCCCTCGTCCAACTTTTTCTGTATGTGAATGCTTGAGGGTGTCGGATGATCCAAGTCTCGCTGTTTAGAGGGTGATTTTGGAGCACCTGTGGTGACTTCGACCGTGCCATTCATGGGTAATTCAGCTAAGACGTTGTGGTGGCGGGTGGATCGAGGTAGGTTTTTTTAAGTGTAAGTCTCCTAAGATATCACTGGCGGACATCACGGCAATGTCCTGTCTTTTCATAGTGACACTATCGAGATATACGAAATCAACCGATCAAGGTGGTCACGTTTTCGAAGGTTTACTTTAAATCTTCTCCAAGATGTCCATTCACTTGTCTACCTAGCCCTACCTGGTGTGAAAACATCAGGATGACAAGTACAGGGCGGGTCACGATTGATCTGCCGGAAACCCAAACTCCACTTCCACGCTTTTTGATAAGAGCAAGCCTTAATATCATATGCCCCAACGCGAACTCCGTTTAGTCCGTGAGAAATGCTCTGTATGTTATCGTTTACACCCCGTAGTTCTAAAATAAGCTAAACGAGCCATATCCCGCTCCTTGTTGGAACGCGTGGCATTTCTCCGAGGAGCTGCATGTGTCCATGAAAATGGGGTATTGTAGCTGTCAGCTTTGTGTGCGTGTTTGATGGTAATGAGCTTCTGGTGATGTAAGGGTGGTTGCGTTTAAAGTGTTCACTACAAGGGATCGTATGGTAAGAAACCCAACGCTGCATACCAACCAGTATTCAGTTCACCAGAAGCATTCTTCTTTGGTAAGTATTCCGGACGTATGATAAGATTTGATAGCGGCTGAGACAGTCAAGGATGATATAGGTACAATAGTGGCAGAGTGTAGTGAAACCTCCAAATCTGAGTACTGTGTACCGAATCGGTGGTTATATGTTTTACTCATTTTCAGCCTTCACAGTTAGTTAAGGCTTTTCTCTAAGACGTCAGTTGCCAGATTCTGTCCTCAGCCCAAATTTGGCTTAGTAAGATCCACGTCATCCAACAGACTCGCTTGACGCACACGCATGTGATAAAAAAGAAGTTTATTTGCACTCGTGGCAGTGACCTGCGGGATCTCAAAATCCCGTTGGGGCTTTCACCCTCAGAGCCCGTCGGATATTCACGACCCCCTGGCTTCCATCATCATTTTGCCCCACTTGCACACCAGGTTGTAAGAGTTCGATGAACAATTGTTGTGCTGTGATGATGGCTCATTTGCAATTAATTTTTTGTGCTGCCGGTGAGTCGTTGAAGGGTTTTCAGCAGCCTTATTACCAGTGCGTTGTCACGCGTATCGCCTCGACAGAAGCCTGATAAAGCAGCATGGTGCATGTGTAGCAGCACGTAAGTGCGGTAACTCGTATAATATTCCCCTCTGAGATTCAACTCTGTGCAGTTTGGGAGTGCATACAATTGGACGTTTTTCTGTCTATGGCATTCCTAAGCTCATGCAACAGATTCTTTTCAGCTTCAATTTACGTTTCGTGCACGAACCTACGAATGCACGGGCTGGAAATGAGTTACTGATAAGAAACCGATTGAAGCTATTCAACCTTTTTGTTTCGCTAACTGTCTTGTGTATGATATTTTCTGATGTATCCATTTTCTCCGTACTGTTCAATGCGTCGCTTGAATTTGGCGGTTCGCTGAATGAAATTTAACGAATGAGTGTTTTTCGTTGATTTGGCTTAATATAACCCGTTTTGTGTAGGTGTATGTCCTCATGCACTGCGGGCCACCAGTTGGCTTCACGGTTTAACGAAAATATTGCCAGCTCTTCCATCAACGGCAAGTGTACCTCAATCCGCACATTTTTCTCACATGTGTACTATGTTCGTTTACAGAATGCCGTAGGCACTCATGACTGCTTTGACGCTCCACAGTTACTGCTGAGTTGTTTTAAAGAACGAGTGGGCTTCCTTCGATTCACGGGAGGATTGATAGGTGCTGTTCTATTCGGTTCTTCATTCTGTAACTTTTCAACGTCAACTAAAATGACATTGCGTTGTATTGACTGCGGCATTCCTTTTATCTGACGCCGTGTGTATACGGTGATTTTACCACCACATATTGCGTCATACCGCTTCCAAAAGGATATACAGCAGAATGCCGGAGAAATTTCTTTCTGTGGGCTAAGGTCCATACAATTTATGGCAACGTTTCGGTCGCTTCCTAACTTTTTGGAATGCCCAACTTTCACACGAATGAGTAGACGTTACCGAGTTTTCCAATCATGATTAGCATTTAAGGGTAAGATTCACATGCACATGCATGCGTGTACTCAGACAAAAGAAGAGCATACACAAATTTATACACAGGTTCAGATTTTCCCTAAATTTGCTGTCAAAATGATTATTATGGGCTGCTAAATTTATTCTGGCCATGAAATATTTGTAAGCTTATTACATTTCCTTACACTTGTGGGGGGCTTGGAACTTGTTATCGTGTTGGATCAAATAGACGGGCAAAGTAACGAAATCACAATAAAAGAATAAGCAATCGATAAGGGCTCACGAATGCCTTGAACCAATTGTCCGCTATGCCGATTCCAATGCAGTAACCGGCTGTGAAGGAAATATCCACTTGTAGAAATTTTCCACCGACGGTTCAAGTGTGAATAGCATATTCCACAATAGGAAAGTTATTCGCAGCTAAAAAACGTCACAGAGGATTAATGTGACGTTCAACAGTTCACACCAGCACAGAGATCTAGTCCCACTACTTCAGCAGTTAGCAAACAGTTCAACGGAGCGTAGATCCACTGATTCAGCAAGAAGTCAGAAATACACAACCCGAACACCTGTGCATTGGTACCATTTCTAATTTGATGTAATTATTGGTACGATAAAATTAACGTCATGATGAAATATCCACAAAAGTTACAAAATATAGTTTAAGTTCAGGAAAAAAATTAAATAAATGTGGCAACGGATTGCAGATGCTAGTCACTCGTAACCTTGTGAAATTATTTACATAAATATATCTCTTAAACCAGTGCTTCACAGGAAAGTGCACTAATGTAAACAAATATATATAGGCAGTGACAACCTTAAAACACTTGTTTCCGATAGATCATCGTCATTCCAAATGTATCAATAGGTCGGCGAGGTCATCATTTCACGGATTCACGGATTGATACACAGGATCGAGGCTTTTGCCCAAGTTTCCCGGGTCGGTTTTGTTCTTGTCGGTCAGTGGCTGTCGTTCACCTGAAAGGCACAAGTGAAAAAAGGGTGTAGCACTGCTCTTTATGTTCTCAGCGCGGGGCAGAATGCTCGCTAGCGCGAGGATTCGCATAAATAAATCTCTAATAGTGCTTTAAATTGGGTTCGAGAAGGAGCATG